GCCAAGACGATCATGTAACATTTTAGGGCTCGGAGTAGCAACACAGGACACACGTGGACGAGGGCCAAAAAAGTATAATCCTCCAGCTTCATATCCTTCTCCAATCCGTCTCCCCGAACCACGCTCCTGTATAACAAAAGATTTGTTATCGAAGGTTATTGAACAATTTAAGGTTTTGGTTAACTGACTTAAGGAAATTAAATTGAAAGGACAATTAGGAATAAAAAGGACAGATTTTAGGCTTATAGAGGGAGATAAGGAAACTTGGCCCACTCCCTTTGAGGAAGCTTTAGAGCTATCTGCAAGGGTTATGAAATGTTGTTTTTCTTGAAAGGAAATAGTTGAGAACAAGGAGGTATTACCAGATATATGATCAGAAACACCAGAGTCAATTACCCATGAATTTTGACCCTCCACAAATTGGGAAATGCAAACAGTTGATGTGCTGGCAGTTTGAGAGGTCTGTGCCAAGCTATTAGACTTCAACCGTAGATACTCTTGGTATTCATCCTCAGTGAACTTGGAGTTGACGGTTTCAGCCTTCGAGACATTGGCGGTTTTGGGAGGAAAACCATGCAAGGAATAGCAGTTCTCCTGTGTATGACCCATCCTCTTACAATAGGTGCATTGGGGATGTCCTCGACCTCCACGTCCTCCTCTTCCTCGTGTGGCAACCATGGCAGATGGTTCTACTAGAGCCAGAGCTTCCTGAGTCTCAGACATTGGTACACGAATCAGACGTGTGATAAGGGTATCCATGGAAGGGACTTCATAAGTGGTCAGAAGTTGATCTCTAATATGGTTAAAGTCAGGATGTATTGCGCGAAGGATCATCACCATGTAATACTTGTCAAGCTTCTTTTTCATTTCATCCAAGGAATCGACTTCCAAGAACATCTTTAGTTATTCCACAGCCAACTGGGCGTCATTCATAAAGGACACCATATCATGATCTGTCATTTTTAGAGATGCCAGATTATTTGCGGAATCGTAGAGACGTTGGATATCATTGGCATAAATGGTTTGAGCTTTCTTCCAAAAGGAGTGACAAGTTTTGAAGGCTCTAAGCGACGTCAAAAGTCTCGGCTCCACTGATTGCCACAATAGAGCACATAGCTGAAAATTTGTCTGTTTCCACTGTTTAGCTTTTTCTTCCGGCACATGGCCTCCGTCTTTTTCAAGGTGGTCGTGATGCCCCTGACCGAGAAACCACATTTTGACGGTAGCAGACCAAGATAGATAATTTTGTCCGTTTAGTTTTTCGGAAGTAATGGAGGGGCTTCCAGAGAATGAAATTGCAGCCATTTCTGATCAAGAGGACAAAGACCAGTGAGAGGGAGCGAAAACAGCAAAGAAGTCTGAAAGCCCAAGAGTGATTTTCGCAAGGGTGACTACTGGACTTCACCGAAATGAAGTTCTGAGGGCCAGAACAGGGAGAGGAAGCTCCGGCGACCCTAACAGAGGTAGCGCGGCGACGTTCTGACACGGAGAAGGCGGCGCGTGGATGACATGCGCTAGATGCAGCGAAGAAAGAGGCGGCGCGTGGCGGAGAACGAGCTTCCGGGACCGACGGGGTTGGCTGTCGCATGGTGAGACGATTCAGATCTGGTGGTCGCCGGCGAAAACTGGACGACTGGAGACGGTGGCCGGCGGCGGACGGTGGCCAATGGCGGCGGACGGTGCCAGATACTACACAAACAGGCAGAGCGGGATCGACCAGCTCTGATACCAACTTGATATTCAAAAACAGAGAAAAAGTGTTTTTAGAGGGCTTGAAGAACCCCTCTCATAGTTCTCTATTTATATAGATAAAAACTGATACAATAGGGAGATTACATTAAATGCACAGTCCTATATTACTCCTCAGAACTAGGTGCAGAGATTATCTAACACTCAACCTCCCACCTTAGGTATAATGATTACATATATTTTCTAATTTATTCCAACAAGTTTTTTAGGTTCAAATATGAGAAGTTTAATCAATCTTCTTCAATGTCAAGTGTTTCAACAATATTTTTTTCTCAATATGTGGAATGTCAAAATCCAGGATTCTTGATTCAGGTACCTTTTATCATATCTCTAGTAACAGTTCTTCTTTTTCCTTCATGTCTTATCCTAAAATCCTTACTTGGTTACTGTGACTAATGGATCCAAAGTGGCATATCAAGGAGTTGACCGAGTTTTTTTATCCCCTTCACTAAATTTAAACCTTATTATTTTTATTCCTAATTGTCCTTATAACTTGATTTCTCTAAGTCAATTGACTCGCCCTATGAATTGTTTTGTAACCTTTGATTTCAATTCCTTTGTTATTTAAGAACATGGTACGAGTCATGTGATTGGAAAAGGACATAAATCACGTGATCTTTATTATTTGACTCCAAAAGTCCTTTTGTGTTGTGTCTTACTACTTGCTCCAAAAATTTGAAAGATAATTTGGGTCATCCAAGTTTATCAAAATTGAAAAGGATGATTCCTAATCTTTTTTTTTTAAATATATTTTTAGTTATTTAAATAATTTTTAAGATTTTATTTATTAATTAATATTTTTATTAGATAAGTTGAAAAAATTATTATATTTATATGTTAAAATAACTAATTATAATTAATAATTTAAATTTAATTCATTAAGTTTTATAATATTATAATATATTTACATATTTTAATAACATAACATAAAAATATAATATTTCTAATTATAATTTTTTATAATATATAAATATTTTTTAAAATGGGCTAGCCCGCCCCTCCTTTGTCTCTTTGAATTTGCAAGTTAGGCGAGCCGGCAAAACCGGGCTAGCAAACCGACCTACCAGCCCTAGCACATTTTGCCATCCCTACTTAGGAGTTTGCCCTTTTTCCGCCTAGCAAAAGATTGTACGTCGTAAATGAGTGTATGTAGCTAAGATTTGTCTTGATGTTGAAATGGACTGTCTCAAAGCTTACTTAGTGGCTAAAGATCACACTCAAATTTATGATCATCATTATTGTGATACATTTTCTCTTGTCGCTAAGATTTTCACTATTCAACTATTTCTTGTTAAGGCTGTTATTCTTCATTGGCTACTTCACCAACTTGACATTAAGAATGTCTTTTTTCAGGATGACCTTAGGTAAGATATTTAAATGGAGCAAGCACCTGGGTTTCTTTCTTAAGCGGAGTCTGCTTTAGTGTTTAAAGTTTCTTATGGCTTAAAGCAATAACCCTAGGCTTGATTTTGTAAATTTAGTCACATTGTGCAATTTTTTGTTTGAAAAGTGTGGTAGATAATTTAATGTTTTATTTTCATACTGCATCAAGGAAATGTATTTATATGATGATTTATGTTGATGATATTGTCACTATAGGTAATGATTCCTTTAAGATCAACCAATTGAAGAAACATTTATTTTGTCACTTTCACATCAAAGATCTTAGTTACTTTAAGTATTTTCTTAGTATTAAAGTGGTTCAATCAAAGGAAGGTTTGATCATCTCACAAAGAAAATATGTTCTTGATATTTTGAAGTAGACCGATCTAATAAATTGCAAGCCTATTGATAGCCTGATGAATCCTAATAAAAACTTAATAGGAGCCAGAGGTGAAATCTTCTTAGACCTAGAGAGATCTAGAAGATTGGTGGGAAAACTCATCTATCTCACCATTATCAGACTAGATTCTATTATGCAATTGGAGTAATGAGTCAATTTATGCAAAATCCTAGCATTAATCATTGGAATGCCTTCATTTGCATTCTCAGATCAGCAAAAGAGGCTCCAAGACAAGGATTGTTGTATGAAAACAAATTAGTACTCAAATCTTACGATATTGCGATGCAAATTGGGTTTAGTTGTCCCATTGATAAAAGATATACTACTGGTATTGTGTATTTATTGGAGCGAATATGATTTTTTGGAAGAGTAAGGAACAAAGTGTTGTTGAATCCAGTGCAGAAGCTGAATATCGCTTCATGGCTCTTGCAAAAATATGCAGTGTCCAATCATGTCAAACAAGCACAAATGCAGATCCAATGGTGTCAAACTCGGTGTCATTTTCCCTTTTCTTTCAAACCTGTTCACTCTTGCTAGACTTGCGAGTTTGATTCGAGTCTACCGAGTTTGCACTGAATCTATTGAAAAACGAATCTACTTACAAGTTAACTCGTGACTAGTAACTGAACTCACAAACTCGTCAAAGTTAGCGAGTGACTCACGAGTTTGATAAACATGACAATATGTATTAAGAGAAATTCCTTTTGTCCATTTTCACAACCAAATCACCCTATATTTAAGCAAGGAAATTAGTTCAAGTACCATGTTGCCTTTATGTTTCATTTAATTCCTAAAATATGAAGATGGAGTAATGACTAATACACAAAAAAATAACAAATACCTAATTGACTATTCACTACTTCAAATAACATACTTGACCATATATGAGAATATTTTTTCAGCGCCTCATCCAAATGTTGACCATCTCCATACCAACATCTATTAACATCACTCTTCACCTATGAAAGCATAATGACTACTTGATACATTTAATGTTCATAACCACTTGGTTAGACAGATAACCAGTGATTAGATTTGAGTGATTAGGGGGAAACTTAAAACTAATGGTAATAGAAAAAACGTATTAAAAACTGTTGACGGACTTGATATTAAATGCATAGTATTACTATTTCTATAAACGAACTATTTGATATTAAATGCCTAATATTACTATTTCTATAAACGAACTATTGCTTAGCAGATGTACATATGTATGCCATTGGCAATTTTGGCATAATCTGTAGATGCTACACAAAATGAACTTTGTACTACAAGATTTGTGATAGATATATATCAGTTTGTTTAACCATAGTCCAAAAGAAAAAAGGTAACATGACAGAAATGAACAACAAATGACTTCAATCTAGTTAACATCCTATATCTAAAATTAATCGATATTTCATATCTAAATAATAGCTCGTATATGGTTTGACTCATGCATATCGGCTATCTATTGAGCCGATTATACATGGAAACAATGACAATTCCATACGTCACATTGAAACCAACCTACACGGTAAGCATGAATCTATGAGATTACCTGTTTAAAAAATTGGAAGTTTCCCTCAACCTTTGAGCATCTACATGTGTGAAGCATGCTGCCATGAGTTCTGCATGTCACAAAAACGATAGTTCAATGAATGAATATTAACAATATAAAGAGTACTTGACTAACAGGACTATCTAACCAAAACACCAATCCACAAAAATAAACATGAAACAACATCATGAACACTATAAGGACAGGGACCTGGCATGACTCTTTTGTACACTTTTGTTACGATGAATAATAAATTTATTTACATTAGTCAAACTTTCTTCACCTTGAGTGACATTCAAATGATCCCAAGAGGGAAGTCATGCTAAAATTATAACTGAACATTCAGACCCAGGGAGAAGATTAAAATATGTTGCCCAAACACCATAGCTTTATGAAACAATAAAATCAACTTAAAAACAGTAGCAATTATGTATTATAAGAAAACAATGAATAAAAAAGTGAGGTGAGAATCCAACGACTAGATCAACCACACCAAATTAATCCTGCAACCATTAACCATATTCTGAGAATAAATAACCTGTCAACTAGTTAGAACATTTTAAGCTGTCAGGATAAGGACAATCATGTAAAACAGTGAATCAATAAGCTAAGATGAGGGACATTAGTCAAAACTGGCAACAATATGCAATAGCTCCATTAAAGAATAGGAAAATATTATGAACAAATCACCAATGCCCCACCATATTTCATTCGTGCCAAGACAGATTCTTAGAAATCACGATTACAAATAACAGTGTGAATCTATTCACTACAGAGTATATATAATCCTATAATTCAATATTCATTTTTTTGAATACTTTTACAAAATAATAATATAAAAAGTAAAGTACAAGATATTGAACACAATTCTCTCATACCATGTACTATTATATGTATTCTCAAAAATATATATTCATCTGGATTCTCTGGTATTGTCAAGATAACAAGAGAAGTTTGTTAGAAAAGCCGCATGTTTTGAAGTAACTACTGAACACATAGTTCTTTTTCACAAAGGAAAAACTTGAGGCTATTTGGTCTGACAAAATTAGTTTGAATTGTTATTTATTGTTTTAACAGACAAAATTTCATAGTATATATAATTTGTTTCCTAATTTCATATACATCATTCTTATACAAACTTTTGAAAATAGGTTACAGAACACTCTGGAAATTATTTGTGGTAACAAGGAATGCAAAACACTAACAAAATTTGGCCCCATAACTATTCTTAGTTACCTATAAAGAAAGTAATGCCAGCACAATCTGCTGATACAGTTAGAAAGAAAATTCGGTACAATATAATAAAATTTAACTGAAACTTTCATCTCCAAATGTATTTAGACAAAACATCCAATGTCCGATTGGCTTCCCTTGTGCATGAATGAAAAACACCTCCCTCGCATGACATATGTCTGCCAGGCAGAAATAACCTGTCAATTATCTATCTCAAAAATATTCTTCAGATTATTCCTCATCCATTAACATGTTTCCCGTACAAAATTTCTAAACTGAGGACCCATAAGTAACTCCCACACCTCCTTATTCCTATAACAGTCCCTGTAAAATAGATTCAAGACGTGTCATACCCACTGGACAGCTTGCAGAGTCACTCGTATTAAGTATAAGATTACGCTCATTCGTTAGAAACTATCTTTCAAAACCTTCTAAAAAGAAAACCAAATCGTTTATGTGACTTTCAGCTGCCAAATTAATTATAAATCAAATTATCATCTCTTCTTACTCTATCAATTAAAGATAAGTAAGCATTTTCAAGAAACAACATCTCTCCAAATTACTGAATCATTTTCAAATTCAGTAATATTTCAAAGTTTCACTCATCCTTTAGACCAACATAATCTGTCAGTACCTTTTGCATTCCACTATTTTTGAATGTCAGATTCATTTAAGCATGAGAAATAAAAATTCCCTTTTTCAAAAATTGTCTAACCATAACTTAATGAACCTTTGGCTTTCATTGAATACTGTTCTCCATCAAAGACCAACAAGATTTCATACCAAGGCTATTTGAGTCTTCTGTTTCTCGTAAGAAGGTGCGCTTTTTAATCCAGAGAACTGCGGAGAATGCGGGAGTGGCACAGATGAACAGAAGGGGACTTCGTGTCGCAGAGATGAACGGCAGAAAACTCAGTGCTTTGCCAAGGTAAACTACAGTAGATGCATAGGAAGGTGAACGACAGGAGATGTGAACCCTAGACTATGGGATGTAGTGGCAGATGCCAAGTTGGAAAGGAGGCGGGAAGAAGACGCACAGGTGAGATAGAGGTAAAAGAAGAAGACGCCACCCAGGGAGACGTGGAAGAGAAAAAAGACGACTGCCCAATAGAGATAGTCGCACATTGTCTCCCCGTGTAGGGCTTCTTTGTGCAATGTGCAACAGTGAGATGATAAACAACTAAATTTTATTAGTAAAGTATTATCAAATTATTGTTTATTACTTTGATATTTAAACACTAAATTGTTATATGAAATTTGATTTTACGAATTAAGTTCATCACTGAAATTTTTCAGTTGAGTTTATCAGTTAAGTTCTTCAATGGGGGTTTATCAGTCAAGTTCTTTAATAGAATTCATCCGTGAGTTAAACTAAACACAAAAACAATACGAGAAAAATATAAAAGACTAAACTCGAAAGAGAGGTATTTTCTTTTAATATTTGATTATTTATACAAAATATTGTAATTGTATTTTTTATAACATCTTAACGGAATAATTAACTTATTTTCGATCGACATTCCCCTTTAATCCACAATATTCAATAGGTTTCCTTCCTAACAATTCTTTCAATTTTATCAAATTTCTTTTGAGAGAGTGGTTTAATATGTCATTTGATCTTCAGAACAGCAACATACCAATTCCAATATATCATTACTTACTCGATCTTCTACAGACGTTGATTCTATAGGTTTGTTTTTGTCATAAGATACTGAATTTCTGAACAAGTTTATAGTTGATTTGTTCAACAACTGACTTTTTATACTTCAAATTTCAATTCATTTAGCAATCCATCTAACTACAAGCTCCAACATATAGCTTTTGCAGATGCTAAGTACTCTATCTCGCGTGAAGAAAGTGTTAAAACACTTTGTTTCAACACCAAGAAAGTGGTGCATTTAGATACTTGAACAAATATCTAAATGTGTTTTTTCTCCGCACTTTGTTTCCACATCAATCACAATCAGAATATTCTTCTATATTTGTTTCAATTTGATCATCTACTTTTGGGAATAACAAACCATAATTAAGATTACCTCTTTATAGATATCTCAAAATATGTTTAACTTTAACCGGCACTTTAGAATCACTCATAATTATACTAATCAACACAACTCCATATTATTATTACATAGGAACCTAAATGACCCTATAACTTGTTTAAATAGTGTTGCATCTATAGTTTTCTCATTCAGCTCCTCAATTAACTTTAGACTTGTTACCACAGGTGTAACTACTAGATTACAATTTTTCATTTTGAGTCTTTTTAATATTTCAGAATTATACATCTTTTGGTGTAAAAATACGAGTGTGCATAAACTCAAGGGCAAGGATACAACGAGAATTCCCAAGTCAAACATTTCAAATTCTAATTTCATCCTTCTTGAATTATTCAAATTCAATCTACTCAATTCCTATGATAATTAAATAATCCACGTAAAGACATACAAAAAGTAATTTTTTGTGTTTTCTTAAGTTTCTTTACATATGTACCAAATTTCATTGTACACTTCACAAAAATCTTGCTTTTGATGGGAAAACATCAATCTAGTTATTCAGAGCTTGAGGGAAGGGAATATCACTTTCTCAAATCTTCTTGTAGTAGGTTGAGATGGATTTGAGAAACTATTTTTCTTGGTTTAGTAATTTGTTCAAAGATAAATGGAGTATGGGTTCCATATTTACTTTCCAAATTCTACAAGATGCAGTTTCATCTATAATGACATATATATGGATCACAATGGTTACTTCAATAATTATACAACTTGATATTCATTTAGTACAAGAGTTTCACTATTATCATGTAACTTCTTTCTTCTCACATCAGGGATGTGTGTATAGTATGGTAACCCAAAAATCCTAAAATGGTACATAATAGGCTTATCTTCAGACCAAGCTTCAAGTGTGATTGTTTTAAGTCTCTTTGTAGGACATTTGTTTAATACATACGTAGACATTACATATGTAGAGTAGTCACTGTCTTATCCTAGAAACGATGAGGGAATCATTTTCCTTTAAGCATACATTTAGTCATATCCAACATAGTTTTGTTCCTCCTTTTAACTAAGTCATTATGTTGAGATGTGTACGGTGTTATTACTTTCACTAGTGCAAAAAGGGGCTTTTACGTCAGGTATTTAGGGCTTTTTACGTCGTATTTAAGTCCGACGTAAAAGCGGGAGACGTAAATTTACGTCGGACCCTTTTACCCGACGTAGATTTACGTCAGTTATGAAGATACGACGTAATTTTGCGTGGCATATACAATAAACAGACGTAAAAACCTTTTCAATTTAAAAAAAAAAACAGAAAATTTACGTCGCATACAGTATATACGACGTAAATTTACGTCGCATATTGGTATATACGACGTAAATTTACGTCGCATATACCAATATGCGACGTAAATTTATCGTCGCATATGGTATATGCGACGTAAATTTACGTCGCATATTAGTATATGCGACGTAAATTTACGTCGTATATACCAATATGCGACGTAAATTTACTCGTTTTTTTAAATTGGGTTTATTTACTACGTTTTACAACTAAAACCTCGCAAAAATTACAACCAGACAAGTCCAGAGCAGTTTTCTTTTGCTAGTAAATTAAAAATATAATATTATATAATTCAAACTACATAATAAAACAAAATAATACAAACATACAAACTAAAAAATCTATTACAAACTAAGCTACCTATACAAACTAAGCTACCTATACAAACTAAACTAAACTACATAATACACACAATATAATATGAACAAGAACATAAAAAATAATGTACTAGAATTGTAGAACAAAAAATTTTGCCCATTGTTCTCTAATTTCTGTAATCTCAGATTCTGGTAATGGAGATGGATCTTGAAATACCTGAAACATGAATTTGACTCTTGTAAGCATGCAACATGAATAAAGTTAAATAAACTTAACTAATGTTAAAAGTAATTACCTCCGTCCAAGAATCAATTAAACCCGCACAAACTATGGCTCTCATCCAATATGTATTCAATATGTATTCACAATTTAAAAACATAATTAATGAATAAAAGATAAAGTTACCCTTGTAATAAGCTTTTCATTTCTTGACTCGGTTTCCGATGTAATGAACAAAACCATACCACAGTGTAATCCCGGGGTATGATTACAATTAACTGCCAATGGGACCTACATTGTATGACATAAAAATTAGTTACAAAAATATAAATTAAAATACAAATTAAAATACTAACCCTTCAATGTATGGAGCCAAATATATATGTCTTCTTGAGTCACTCATCCATGTTTGCATATATTGTTGGATTCCAACCTTTGTATTTCCAGATTTTTGGATGGATTGAGGCTCAATAAATCCGTATACTTCGGATTTTTCTTGTTCCACACTCAAATTGTCAAGGTACCTAAAACAATTAATTATAAGTTGAATATAATTATTATAATCTTAGAAACATAAATGAAAATGACTTACATTGCCCACAATTGTATGATGGAAATGTTTAACATGCAATTTCCCCCAGCAATTTCTAAAGCATCGGGCAAGGAAATGTACAATGGAACACTGGAATTGTCAATTCCAAACACTCTAACATCCCATTGTATCTGACACGGTCTCTTCCTCAACCGTGGTAATACGGCTAACAACATAGAGATGGGATCATCATCACATTCTTGTACTCTAAACCCATTGGACATAATATCTTCTTTGCCTCATAGTTACGAATAGGTAATGTATTATCTTCAGGAAGCATCTCCTTCAACAACTCCAATAATTCGGTGAAACTTTTATCAGTCCATCCATTTCTTGCTTTTAAAGTAAACAATTTTAAAGTTGTCGATAATCTTGTAAAACTACATCCTATGTACAATTGTTGCGCAAAATCGGATTTCAAAGAATCATATAGATGTGCTTTCATAAAATGTTCTTCACCAATATCACGTATCATATCCTCTAGATTATCATCCATCCCTTCATCAAAATTGTCTGTAGTTGACACAGTTGGGATGTCTAATATTTCTCCATGCCATGTCCATATTGTATAACTCTTAATAATACCATAAACAAACAAGTGATCACGTATATCCTCAAGTTTATGACGAATTTGATTCAAACAACGAACACATGGACAATAATATGTCCCTTTCATAGCTTTTCCATTTTCACTAGCAAATTTCGAAATTCCTCAACTCCCTTTTCGTACTCTTCACTAATACGACGTGCATTCATCCAACTTCGATTCATATTATGTTATAAAGTTTCGTCACTCCTAAAGATTTAAAAATTATATGTAAAAAAAATTAATATACAAACAACAAAGCACGTTCCAACAACAATGGAGTGTGTAAACCGAATGCACTCAAACAAATAAACAAATAACCGCATTCCAATAACAATCCAAGTGGAGACATTCATACTATAACGTGATTGAGATCCCCAAAACAATCACGGATTCAATGTAAACATATAGCAATGACAATGAACACTAACCTCGAGTGTAGACGAAACCGATTTCAAACTCGAATCCAATCGGGGAGAAAGATGAAGTTCGTCAAATGACACGACAATGTAGATGTTTTTCAGCGTAAAGCGCTCGCAAATGGTGTGCGAAGGTAGCTGTTGTCGTTGTTCTCGTCGTCGTTCTCAAAAACCCTGGTTGCGCGAGACGAGGAAGTGGAGTTGGGAGGGAAATAAAATAGACTTTTTACGTCGCGCAGTGTAGTAAGCGACGTAAAAAGTCATCTTTACGTCACACTGGGAGGCGCGACGTAAAAGATGGCCTTTTACGTCGCGTACGGGGGCGCGACGTAAAAGCTAAGGCTTTGCGTCGCGTCCCCGTACGCGACGTAAAGGCCATCTTTACGTCGCGCCTCCAGTGCGACGTAAAAGATGACTTTTTACGTCTCCTATTGGGGTGTGCGACGTAAATTTTTTGTCCCATATTTACAAAATTGCCACCGCGTTTTATTTACGTCGAATATACGTGCATGCGACGACAATTGGGTGACGTAAAAGCCATATTCTGCACTAGTGTTTGTAGTACAAAGTAAATTGAATTTTGTATAATTATATTTATCACTATCATATGTTCTAAGTATCTTTAACTTGTAAGTTGTCTTTCAATCTAAGGTACAAAATTATAGTA